ATGAATCGAGATCACTCTGGAACACATCTGAACTAATTATAGGCCAGGGGTAGATGATTCTAACACACCTGGTTCTTGTTTTTCTCAACTTGTTTTGCTCTAAAGCTTAAAAATACCTAACCGCAAACCGCTGATGCGCTTGTACGCTTGTCCATGTGGCTTCCGAGAACAGTGGAATTGCCAACGGTCAGTTTCTTAATGCTCTCCCATTTTTGAACATGGAGTCCATGTTTACAATTGCTCTTAGTTCCGTTTACTTTTACCTGCCCAAGCTGAAACGATGGAACAGCGGAATGTCAAATGGGCCCGAACTCCTATGGCTCAGCTTTCAAGGCTGATGCTTTATCTGCTGGCCTGCTGGATGGCTGCCAAAGTGATGCATTTTGACATTCACCGCACTGGCATTAATAGCCTCCAAATCACTGCTAGACTGTGTGAAGCTATTCATCAGGGGTGAACGCAAACCAGGGAAGAGGTGATCATGTTGCAGGTACAGAGGTGCTAGAAGTCTAGCATTGTTTCATGTTAAAAAAACCTAAATATTAGCTGTATTTTCGAAGAGCGTGTACATCCCAGTAGCTTTCATTTTGACTTTTTAACTTTTCAGAATTCAGTTCAAATACTGCTCTCCCTCGCTCTCTCTAATTATGTGCTGTAAACTTGGGACTGCACATTGTTTAATTATTTCCCTATCAATATGACATTTTCTAGTCTCACATCTGGCAGGACATTTCCCCCTGCCATGACACTAATCCCATAGGTTCTCTTATCCAGAGCAGCTGTCTGATCTAACATCCCACAGCATCTATGAGATTGTTCAAGGGGTTAGGATGGCTGTTTTTGGCAGAGAGTACTTTTCTACATGAAGGAGTACTAGAAGGTGTTCTGTGTTGTAATCCAATTAAAAGATTTTTTTAAAAAAAACATCAGGTGAGGATCAGGGACCTTAATGCTGCCTATCGGTGGTTAGCAGCACTTGAACAGACACACTGGTCAAAATTTTCCCCGCTCATGTGGAATATATTATAATTCCATTCAAACTACTAAAATATTTCTAATTGTGCATCTATACACATAAATAGATCTTTTGTAAAAATAATCTTTTATAGACTGGAATTCTCTCCTGTGGCGAGGGTGATGCAGTTCATTTTAATTCCTGTCAGGAATGAGCGCCAAAGTAGAAGGGAAATTTTCTTCAGGAGTGAAAAAATACACTTTATATTTCTCAGGTGCCAGGCTATTCTTACCAGGTTCCATCTATCTTACCTTGCTAGTTCCAAAGTTCACCTTTAGCATTAACAATGAATACTGATGAAACCTTTTTGAAATGGAATTCCTTGTTCTTACACAAAATTATCTTCCAGGTGTATGTTGTTACCTATTTCCTCTGCAACAGGTTGTCTGCTGGGGTCTCAGCCTGTCCATTGCCTTATTAGAACCCAATTTAACAGAATGCTTAAATAATCACATAGTCAAAGTGGTTATAATGTAGAACCTAGGTTCTTAACCTGTGGTCTGTGGACACTTGGGGCTCTGTGATGTCCTTATAGGGGGTCCGTGAAGGCTTGAAGAAATGTTATAATCTTTTGCAGTTAAAATAAAATGAATGCATGAATGCATGCATGCATGCAAGAAAGAAAAGGAAATGTACATTTGTATGGAGTCATTCCAATGAAAATATTTTAAAAGGAGTGTGTGCATTAACAGATTAACATTTCTCCCTTCTCTCCACATTTGAAGACCTTTCATGAGAAACTTCAGATAAGTATGTGATGCACTTTAGGGTTTTAAATCCTGAGTTGAGTCTCGGTAGTCTGCGGCAACAAAAGATATTTGAAGAGGGTCCATGGCAAAAAAAAAAAAAAAAAAAAAAAAAAAAAAAAAAAAAAAAAAAAAAAGATTAAGAACCACTGATGTGGAAGAACGCTGGCTGTAAAGTTCAGCAATATTGAATATTGAGACATGTTGCTGCATCTCATGTGCCCCTCCCCCACTTATGTCTCCATACTTTAAAGTAAGTAGGTCTCGTGGGCATACGTATATGGTATGGTCAGCAAAGCAAAGGTAATTTACTTTCCACAAGGAAAAAAGATTTTCCTATGTCCAACTGAGTATCTGTACTTCAAATTTAAATGTCAACAGAAGGTACTGTGGTTCACTGGTCAGGGCCGACACTTCCCTGAAATGTCTCGACCAGTGGAGAGTGGAAATAAACAAAACTGTTGAGACAGAACCCATTGCTGTATCTTTGGTCCACCAGCTATTAAACGCTGGTGAATGTCCAAAAAAGGAAACCTTTGCCGTCAGAGCTTGGTGAATTTTTATTTTTATTTTTTGCATAGCAAATCCCAGAATTCCCCCCAACAACTCAGGGAACTGTAGTTTTAAAAGGCAACTTTACAAGCTTTGTAAACACCATAATACTTTCCTACTTGCCAGACCAAGAACGTAAGAACATAAGAAGAGCCCTGCTGGATCAGGCCAAGGGACCATCTAGTCCAGCTTCCTGTATCTCACAGTGGCCCCACCAGATGCCTCTGGGAGCACACGAGACGACAAGATGCCGGTCTCCTGATACCCCTCCCCTGCATCAGGCCTTTGGTGGTACCTTCTTTTTAAGCCTGGAGATTATATATCCCCATTATGGCTTGTAACTTGCGATGGACTTTTCCTCCAGGAATCTGTCCAATCCCCTTTTAAAGACATCTAGACCAGATGCCTTCACCACATCCTGTGGCAAGGAGTTCCGGGACTGGTATAAGTATGACCAACAACAGCAATTTCTTTATTTTTGTAAATAACTGGGGGTTTTCTAATTGTTCTCCCCAGCTTCATTTTTGCCTCTCCACTTCAAATTTCAATTAATTAATCAACTTATTCTATGTTTTTACCTCCTGATTAGTGTGAGGAATTACTCTGGGCAGTTAACAAACAGAAAAAGCAAATACACATGTATAAACCAAGATGAGAACAAGAGGCAAAATGCTGAAAAAACTGAAGGAAATATTTGTCATGCCCAGCGACTGACAATTGAATGTGATTTCACAAATCATTTTGGGCAAACTGGGCCAATGTTAGAGGAATAGCTTGTTTTTAATAAATACTTCACCCAAACTTTTAGGCATGTAAGCTACATATTGCATCTTTTGAGCATCACACTATCATCGAATTGCTTTTAACAGCAAAATACTGAGTCCACATTTATTCTAATATCAGCTGAAGGCACTGAGGTTCAGTAGTCAGGATTGCTACATTTATGTGATTTATTCCAGCTGTTAGTGCTGTGTTAGGGTGTAACTACATTGCAACGTACTCCTCAAGTTACTGTGGAAATTCAAAATTTCCCAACTACATGATGTTTTTGTAAGCACAGGGGAAACCTGCACTTTTCTTCCAGGAATCATTTCTGTCAGGAGGTTGTTTATTTTAAATTGTTCTAGAGCGTGCTGTTTTTGACCCGTTTTTGGTTGTGTGAATGGTCATGTTGTATCCTCTGTGGGTGAGTGTTCCTTGTACTAATATCTTGGTGATGTCTTTGAGGTGAAGTGGGATGCTGTTCCATCATGAGATCAGCACACTTATGTGTTCTGTCAGAACTGTTTCGCTTTTTAATTTTTTTAACAAAATAAACCATTTGACTTTGACACTGCATCATCCATACACGGGAGTCTTTCTGTCCGCTATGCCACTTAAAAAAAGTGGTGAGTGGGTGGAAATTAACTCCAGGCAAGACAGATGTGAACAAGGACAATGCAAACGGAGCCAGGACAGACCAAAGTGCGAACCTCAGATCTACTTAAGGCAGTTTAAAGAGTGGTGTAATCCCCTGCATCAGATCAAATCCATGAGAATGGAGAGAGCAAAACAAAGAGTCTGTCACATGAATCAATACCATAACACCCCAACACAACTCTCAGATTATTTGGGCAGTGTAGTCACACCCTTAGAGTCTGGCCAACTCACTTAGAATCTTAGAATCATAGAATAATTGTGTTGGAAGGGGCCCGTGAGACCACCAACCTGCTGGTCAGTGCAGGAATCCAAAAGCAAATCAAATCTGACAGATGGTTGTCCAATTTTCTCTTGGATGCCTCCAGCGCTGGAGCACTCACAACCTCCTGAGGTAATTGGTTCCATTGTTGTACTGCTCTGACTGGAGGATGTTTTTAAAATAAACTAACTCATAACACTAATGGGGATTTTTAGAGACTTCTAAATCATTTTGAGGCATGCCGAAAGCTCATGTGGACACATATTGACGATCAGTTGTAACAGAGGTGGGCAAACCATTTTATAACTACCCCTTTGTATTGACAGCTAGAGTGGCAAAGTGGTGGTTAGTAACATAATAGTTTCTCTTCATGCATGTGGGTGGTGTGTGTGAAATGTAATCTGTATGAACCATGTGTGTATATAACTTTGTTTACCTGAATGAACAAAAACTAACAGTGGCAGCTGGACATAGAGATGTGTTTAGTTTGAAGGCTGGAAGGAAGCTTCTGTAGGGCTGTTGTTGGTTACAAATCGCCCTGTGTTTGGGAAGTTCTGTTGTTGAGCCATCTCTCATTGAAAGTAGACTTCTGACAACATGCACCCATGTACAAGTCCCTCAGACCTTTATGCCCAGTGCCTCATGGCCAAGGATGTAGGAGAATGGGTATTCTATGTGTAAATGGGGCTGGCCCAAGATATATTATTATCCGAGGCAAAGAAACAAATGGTATTCCCCACTCACTCAAGTCAAGGTGCATTGGCATATGAGGTAAAAAATCTTACACATGCCTATCCCTATCCCTTTCAGTAAAAAACAAAAATCAAAAAGTATAGGGCAAATGACTAGCTATTCAAATTTATTGTCTGAGGTAGTTACTTCATAATGACTAATGGTAGGGCTGGCCCTATAGGTGGGGATTTAGTGGCAGGAACATCATAAGTGCCCTGTACCCTAGTGTAGCGTTCACCCTTTGTTAGGTATAAGTCATGCATTATTCATGTCCTATCCAGATGTGGTGGAGAAGCAGTGTGGAGAGAGAGGTTAAAAGGCGGCGCATGAGAGGAGGAGTCAGACAGTCAAGAGAGTGAGTTAGTCAGAGGCAGAAGCAGAAAAGAGAGATTGAGTTATAGACTGGTTAAGATTAATAGATAGAGAAGGTGGAAATTATATGGCAAGAGAATATAGTACAGAGGTTATCAACCCCCCGGTCCATGGCTTGAGACCTCCCGCCCTCTGTGCACTCCCCACAGCTGCTTTGCGCATGTGTGCGTGTGCCAGCACCAGTGTGAGCGCTCCATCACCCCTTCAGGTATGTGCCTGCTCGCACAAAGCAGCTGTGGGGAGGGGAGTGTATGCAGGGGGGAGGTCTGTCTTTGTGGCTTGGTGGCAGCGGTGATTAGCATAGCCCAGAGCCAGGAGGCTGAGCATGGCCGGGTGCTTTGGCTGCTGGTTTCGCGGCGGCGGCGGCAGCAACGGGGATGGCCATGAGCTGGGAGTCTGAGCATGGCCGCGTGGTCCGGCTGCTGGCCTCCTGGTGATGGTGGCAACAACAGGGGTGCCCAAGCGAAAACTGAATTAGAGATCCATTTTGAGTTAATGTGCATGAGCTAGAAGGGCTCACGGCAGCAGAGGAAGACAAGTTGATAGAAATACCCCTGGATAGTGCTCTGAAACTGCAATTCAAGGAACAGTCCTTTCCATATTTCTGGGTTCACTTACAAGCAGATTTTCCAGAACTATTGAAGGGGGCAATGAAAGTATTGATGCCTTTAGGAACAACGTACATGTGTGAAAAATCATTCTCTGCTCTCATTGTATTTTAAAAATAAGGATAGCATTTGAAAAATGTATAGTCAAAACTCAGTTTCAGCTATTAAGCCCAATATAACGAGGCTTGTAATTGAAATGCAGACCAGCCTTCTCATTAATTATAATTATATCTGTGAACGCCACAATTAGTGTACTTTTTTAAAGCATGCAGTTGAACATCAAATGTGCAGTTTTTTAAAAAAAAAAATAGAACTGATGAATCCTGATATATCGTTTTAGGGTTATCCCATTTATTCAATTTCCTTTGAGTTGATCTTGTTCAGCTTCCTGTGGCACAATTTCTTTTCCAAATGCATGCCTTGTGTCCAACTGCATGCTACCACTCCCCACTATACCCTGTCCCCACTTTTAGCCTCCACACATTCAGGTTTATGCATGAAGAGGACTATTGTGGGATTTAGGAGAAAGGGGGGGATTAGATTAAATAAACAAGGGTGAGACTTTATGTGGTGGTGATTTGTTAATAGAATTGTATGCTTTGTTTAACAGGCAACACTTCTGTTTTTCTGCATTATTTCAAATAGGAACAGTCAAGAGCCCCCAGTGGTGTTGATGTCAGGCCAAGAACAGGAGTATGGTAACTTCACCCCTTATTTGGCCTTAAACTTAGACCCCATAGCAATTATTTACCAGAAGTAACTCAAGAGTTCTGCTGCCCAAATATTTGTGCCGTTACCTCTTTTCTTTCCTAGATCTTGAAAAAGTTGCTTGTTTGGAATACAGTTCCCAGCAACCACTTCACCTGGATGGCCTTAGATACAAAGATAGGTGCTGACGTGACATTGTCAAACAGGACACCACTGCGTTTTTAATGCATTTATTTCGGTCTTGACTTAAGATTTCGCTTGGCAGACAGTCGCTGAGCGACTTCTAGGTGACACCGATTCTCTACAGGTCACATCCAGCAAGATAGCCTGACAGATCCTGCCCCTGGCAGTACAATCTCCATGCCACCCTGGGGGGAAAAAAGAGAACAATTAAAAATTCTCCACCCTGACAATTTCTTCACTTGATTTGTGAAAAACACTAGGCGAAAAACAAATATATTAAAGAACATACACTAATCTCATATTCTCATTTCACAGACACAGTATAACCACTACCCAGCATGGGAGACGAGTGAATAGCAGTGCCTGTAAAAGGTCCACAGCATTCATGGTGGCCGGAACAACATGTCCTGCTCTGTGCCTTCAGAGTTTAGTCAACAGAGTAAACGGCTTTAATCCCAGGATGACAGATCTTTTTGGCCCCAAATTCAATTTCGGAGAAATGTTTTGGGGCCCCATTCCAGTGGTGGGTAGAGCCGAAGACATAATACCTATATATTGCAATTTTACCACAGCTCTTAGGGTCAATCACTAAGCCTTAGGAGACGCATTTCAATGGATCAGGGAGGGGAAAAATAGGTACAAATTATGTATCATGGGAAAAGGGGTGTGTGGCCATCTGGGGCATCCCAGTGAGCCACAATGGAGCCCCAAGTGGGCCAGATTCAGCCCCAGTGCCTGAGGTTCCTCACCTCTGCCTTAACGTTTGAATTAATGTAGTCCTTGTGGCATTTTGGCAATGGTCTCATCAGACAGCCCAGCAGATGGCTTGAGCCTTCCTCCCTGGCCTTGTTAGGTTCCCTTTTCAGCCTGTTCTCTTGCACTGTCCTACTGTGCCCGAGAGGTGTGCCCAGCAATGCCTCAATGACGGCAACACCAGGGGGAGCCTTCCCACCCACTCCATGGCCTCCTCTTTCTGTTTCCCCAGCTGCTGAAGACCCCCTTACCAGGCACCCATTCCATTCCATGAATTATCGACCACAATCTTTGCACAAGCCACATCTGGAGCAAGGTTGTTTGTCAGCAGTTCTGTAAGGAAAGGAGATGGAATATTAAATCTTTTTTTTTAAAGGAGGTATCATCTGATTGCTCCTTCCAGGGTTCCACCCCACCCCCAGCCCCGGGCAGAGCTTCTATGATGACATAAGCGACATGGCATACAGAAGAGCAAAAATATATTGAATACGCAGGAGTTCTGCCCAGAAAAAAAAGGTGACCATCCCAAACTACCACCATTTGCATGCAGCTTGAAAGGACTTCCAATTCCAAAGGGTAGGAAATAGGGACGGATCCCCAGATACCTTTCAGTCTCAAGTGAGAGAAACACATGCTCTGAGGGCTGTGACGGCTGCCAGGGCTCCTGTCAAACAATCATGCCATGAAGCCCTGAGACAAACAATGGTTTCTTTGGAAAGCTGGAAGCCAATTAAAAAAGGAGACCTGCCACTCATTCCACGTGTGCCTCTCGTAAATGGGTTCTGCTGGGTTTTTTGTTTTTGTTTTTTGTTATTGCTCCCGTGCCTCTCGTAAATGGGTTCTGCTGGGTTCTTTGGTTTTTGTTGTTGTTGTTATTGCTCCCGGACTGAAGGATGCCTATGCTATGCTATGCTATTGCTCCCAGTGGCTTTACCAGGCCTCTTGGGCCACTTTAGATAGGAAGGCAGAAGAGATGTGGGTGTAGACCATGGTACAGCCAGTGGTCGTTGAGACAGAAGACATGGTGTGTGTGCCTCTCTGTGTGTGAATGGTAAGCATTAACTTTAAATGCTTCTCTCAAACCATACCCATCTCTCTTTTTTAAAAGTGTGTCTCACCTAAGGAAAACCAAGCAGTTTGCTGGCAGGAATGCAATATTTGCATGGGAAAGACACATATGAACAGAAATCTGGGCATGGGAGAGGTGAAAGGTTAGTTTTATGACACTGCCATAAAGTGAGTCAGTTATAGCCTATTCCAAGGCAATTTGGGGGGGGGGTTGTTTTCCCCTCTCCCCCTTCCCTAGTCACTAGGGCTGAAGGCATCAAGGATTCTCATAGCTTGTTAATGGATAGTAGGCTGAGTTGCATGGGAAAGACACATATGAACAGAAATCTGGGCATGGGAGAGGTGAAAGGTTAGTTTTATGACACTGCCATAAAGTGAGTCAGTTATAGCCTATTCCAAGGCAATTTGGGGGGGGGTTGTTTTCCCCTCTCCCCCTTCCCTAGTCACTAGGGCTGAAGGCATCAAGGATTCTCATAGCTTGTTAATGGATAGTAGGCTGAGTACCCTGTTTCCCTGAAAATACGACCTAATCTGAAAATAAGCCCTAGTATGATTTTTCAGGAGGCTCGTAATATAAGCCCTACCCCAAAAATAAGCCCCAGTTATATGAAAGCCCGCCCTCTACCATGGTGCAGCAACCAGAAGAAGATGACATGACTGCATTTGAATAAACATAAGCCCTAATGGGTTTTTTGGAGCAAAAATTAATATAACAGCCTGTCTTATTTTCGGGGAAACATGGTAGTTTTGCTTCTAGTAATACTCTCTTGATTGGATGGGATTTGGTCATGACCAGGTCCATCCATGTTTCCTAACCATCACATTTTGGGGGTGGAAGAATGTGTGTGTATATGTGTGTGTGTGTGCGCGCGCACGCATATACACACGCACATACGCGTGCATGTTTATGAAGCTATGGAAAATGTAATCAAGTAGGTGGCACTGTGGAAGCATAGGTACATAGTACTTTGTTTCTCAGGGCATTATCTGGGAAACCTGTGATAGTGTCCACTTTGAATTCTGAGTAGAGTAAGTTTGTGTGTAATGTGAAGCTTACTCTTCCCCAGGATTTTCCATGCGGGGCTCAGAAAGTTGACTTATTTGAACCATGACTCAGAGAATCCCCCCACCTGCTGACTGGACTTCTGTGCAATATCTGAACAGACCACCGTGAACTTAAGCTCCATTAGCTGGGATGATTCCAGCTTTCATAGACCTGTCCCCTGCTGGCAAGTTTGCAAAGTTTGCTATAGACCCAACATGGGGAAAGTTACTTTTATGAACCACAACTTTCACATGACCAATATAGAGACAACTTGTACATCTCCAGATGTTGTTGGACAGTGACTCCCAATCAATGGTGAAGGATGGTGGAAGTTGCAGTCCAGCAACATGGGCAGGACCACACATCATTTACTCCTGATTCGTATCAAGCACCCTCCAGGGGAAGTCAGTTCTCACCAGAGCATGAAATTCCACAGAGGTTGGCACTTGACTCGTCACCATTCTGGCACCAATAAGCACTGTTGATTTGGAAGATCCCAAAGTCGGCACTGCCATTAGAGTCGTAGTCAATGGCCTGAGTATTGTAGCTGCTCTCGTGAGCCGCCATGCAAACCCCTAAGACAGAGAATACGTATGATAAAGCTGGAGGCATTCACAGGTTTCTGGTAGGGGGAGAGTCCTTTGTCACCCATAATGCCTTGTGCTGTAAAATCTTACCCCGCCCAGCAGTTTTGAGTATCCCCAGGGGCTTGGAACCAACCCCCAGTGGATATGGGGTCCTACTGTACAACACTGTCATGTCATTTATATCCCACCATTTCTGCAAGGAGCTCAGGGCCATGTATATTCTGATTTTAACTTCCAAATGCTATTGACATTGTTCTCTCATTTTAGCCTCATAAAGATCTCATGTGGTAGGTTAGACTGTGGGTGAGTGACTGGGCAAAGGTCACTCAGTCAGCCTTCTGGTGGACGAGGGGCTTGAACTCAAGAGATTCCCAGACTTAATCCAACATTCAAACCCTTTTATCAAAGAGACTCCCTGAGAAATGTGAACCACGAGAGATGTAGCTAGGGAAATGAGAAGACAGAGAAATAATGTTTCAAACTGAATTCATGCTTAAATTTTTGCAAGATTCTACATTGGTAACAAAATTTTTTTCCGCTGTATCCCCCACTCTGGTATTTGAAAATTTTACCTCCAGGAAATTGTGCTTGTCTTCTTTTTGTTTCCTTTTAATATGTTTTATATGTTTTCTATAATTTGAATGTTTTTAGCTGTATATTTTATAATATTTTGTAAGCTGCCCAAAGCAGTGGCATCCTCACTAAATTTAAATACGTAAATAAGTTGGTTCCAAATAAATAAATAAATAAATAAATAAATAAATAAATAAATAAATAAATAAATTTATGTTATGTTATGTTATGTTATGTTATGTTATGTTATGTTATGTTATGTTATGTTATGTTATGTTAATAATTATGTGCCATCAAGTCATTTCAGACTTTTGGCAACCCTTTCAGGTTTTTCCAAGTAGAGAATACTGAAGTGTTTTATCATTCCTTTTTTTCTCTGGACACTCTGGAACCATTTTGCCCAAGGCCACACAGGCTGGCTCCGCTTGTAGGAGAGACAATGGGGAATCAAACTTCCAACCTCCAGTTCCACAGCCTGATACCTAAAACACTGAGTTATCCAGTCAGCATCCATATACACCCCCATAAATGGAACTTTTCTTTCCCATTTCTTCAAACATCAAGTGATATACTGCCAGCCCATGTGGTATAGTGGTTGGAATAATGGACTGCAACTTGGGAGATATAGCTTCAAATCCCTAAATTAAGAAATTATTCGGCTGACCTTCGACTCTCTCTCTCTCTCTCTCTCTCATCCTGACTGACTTCATGAGGTTGTTGTGAAGATGCAAGTGGAGAAGACAACTATATAGGCTGCCTTGAGCTTATTGCAAGAAAGATAGGATACAAAGCTCACAACTATGTACATATGCAACAAATAAATAATATGTTATGCCCCATCAACTCCACACACTTCTACAGCCCTATAGTGTGACATAAAGCCGCATGTTCCTATTTATCTATAAAAAAGTAGAGCATTCCCCTTAATTATGAATCATTACCTGAACAGGTAGGCACAGAAGATCAAACCGTCTAGAGGTCACACAGAGTCTAGTCTGCTCCCGAAGAGACTGTCAAGAATGCACACACACACACCCCTCTATATGCTTCCCTAGCCGATACTATTTTGCCCCATGTACTTACAGTTAGCCAAGCTGTAGCCAGCATAGCCATCCAATCCCAGCTGCTGGAGCTGCTGAGCTAGCTCACAGGGTGTGTAAATCATTCCTTGTCCTGTGGCCAGGACACTGGCAAGGACGAGCAGCAGCCACTGAGCCTTCATCTCTGCAGCTCAAGAGAGAAGTCAAGTTAGATGACGAGGACATAGTGGGAGCTGGCTTTTATAAAGGCTCTCTGGCATACCACAAGGTAGGTATGACTTTGAAGGCACCTTTGAGAGTTGAACCCTTTAGATGGTTATCATAAATGAATGTGTGTCAACTCAACAGAGATAAGAGACGGAAAGTTCTAGACACCAGGCCCTCAGCAGGCCTATGAGCTTGGACACTAGGTTCTAAGTCAGCAAATGAGAATCTCTATGGTGTTACGGCTGCCTATTCAAAAAGGGCTTCATCTACATTATAATGGTTGCTTGCCATCCTTGTTGGGACAGAAGGGGGCAGAGAAGGAGCCTCACCATAGCATGTGAATGCATCTGGGCAACCCCTGGACAATGACAGTGTCCAGTCAGCTGAACCTTCCACTCTGCAGGCACCATCGGAACGCTTCCAAAGAAAGAAGAAAGGGATACAGAATGGTAGGCAGAGAAGATTTAAAAAAAGGACCTCCTTTCATCTCAGTATATGCTTGGCTCAGGTGTTTGTCCTCAGTACCTGAACAAGTCCTTTCATATATATTTCTCCTAATGTTCAACAAACTAATTCAGCTGTTGCTGTTAAGGACACCTGGAGGTAAAGGACACATTAATGGAAATGCATATTTTTTGCTGTTATCTTTCCCTCCCGGCATGCAATTCCTTTGACGCACAGTCAGACTAGCAGAGGAAGCTCGTGTTCACCTCATGATAATCAATCATAAAACAAAGCTACTTTGCCAAATGCAGCATGAAACAAGAACAACCAGACATTTTATCACCCCTGGGAAATCTGTGTTTGATTACGTGCTGTTTGGGCTAGAGATTTGGCAACTTTCCCTCAACTGCAAATGGCTGTAATATCCAATCCTGATGTTCTTTCAGCCTACTGGTGCTGTAGTGAACTGGGGATGACCTATGGTGGATGTAGATATATGTTAGGACTCCCACCTCTGTTCCTAACTGTTTAACCTGTTGAGATTTTGATGCAAATATGTATTAAATATAAATGTTGTATAGTTAAATGTAAAATGGCTGATTTAACCTCAGTCATTGCACTGACTGTGTTCAGGTGTAGTTACTAAAGTTTGAGACTTAATGTTGTACTGCTGTGATACATGATGAAACTTTGTGTAACTGAAAATGAAGTACTGCACTTTCTGACTGGTCCCATAACTGTACGTAAGTCATGTGTAAAGGGGACATTTTATGTGCTGTAAGTCAGATCACTTTTTTCCTATGCTGTGTGTTGTATTATGTCATGTTACACTGCCAGATGAATGTCTATTCTCTATGTATATATGTAAATAGACTACATTGATATTTTGCTCTCTCAGTGTCATAGTGTCTATGAAAACTAATATCTCAATATTTGGCAGACCGTCTTCTCCCACCCAGATCTACCCGAATCACCCGACATAGCCAGCAGGGGCAGCTGAGGGGTCTGACACCGAGAGAGGCCCGGAAGGAAAAAACTAGAAACCGGGCCTGCGCGGCGGTGGCTCCTCGGCTGTGGAACACCCTTCCAACAGAAATTCGGCTGGCCCCCTCGCTGGATGTTTTTAAAAGCCAGTTAAAAACTTGGTTATTCAAGCAGGCCTTCCCTCCAGTCAATTAAGTCTTTCTCCTTTTTTCCTTTCTTTGCTATTCCACTTTGGTAATCCTCTCTTTAAATTAATTGTTTTAAATTGAAATTGTAATTGTAATTTTATGATTTTATATATTTTTATACTGTTCTGTTTTATTTTGTAAGCCACCCTGAGTAGACATATAAATAAATAAATAAATCTCCTTAACTCTGCTAATGTTATGAGAATACACATTATAATCAAAATTCCCAAAATAACCATGTTAAACTCAATGTGGAGTAGTGATTAGAGTACTGAGCCAGGAGTTGGGAGATCCATATCTCAGAGAGTCATAGGCTCACTGGGTGACCTCAAGCAAGTCTCTGTCTCCCTCACCTCCCTCATAGGATTATTTATCACGACGATACAGTAGTGAGAGAACAACTAAGTACATTGCTACTTTTAAAGGAGAGGAAAGATGTGACATAAACTGAACCGATATAGAACACATCTAGAACCTCACAGGGCAGGCAAATATCTCCACTGACCTGATGGGGCTTCCTTACCAATATAGCTTCCTTACTGCCACTGACCTGATGTGGCTTCATTACCAATATAGCTTCCTTACTGCCACTGACCTGATGTGGCTTCATTACCAATATAGCTTCCTTACTGTGCCCCATCCTATGCTTCCTGGCACTCTCAGAAACCATTATGTCCCTTGTTAATTATATCAATGTTAATTATATCTAGGTAAATGATAGAACCTGTCAGAGGCCAAAGGGGTTCAGGATAATGGTGGTGAAAATAAAAACAATTCAAGCCAACGTGACGACCAGCTGCCCAGTTGTATTTTTAGTTCTGGGGATATATGTGCAAATGGGGATACGTGGTGAGAGGGTTATTTGTGCATTTGTCTGTTCATTTATTGTCTGTTTGTTTCTACACATATATTGCCTCATAGCGCTAAAGCACTCTCTGGGTGATTTACAATGTAACTATGCAAGGAACAACTTGCCCCAAGGAGAGCTGGGTACTCATATTTACCAAATTTGGAAGGATGAAAGGCTGAGTCAACCAAGAACCAGCTACTTGAATCTGTCAGAATGAAAATCAGGTCATTGTGAGAGAGGCTTGACTGCACTGCTACAGGTTAACTACTGCCCCATAGGGCAAGCTGCAGAGCAGAAGAAGTAAAGAAGTGAGACGCACAAACGAGAAAAAGTAATGTTATCCTATTGTGATGTATTATCATTTCATTTGCTATTTACTTGCCTGTCGGGCATATGATAAGACACACTAGGGAGGGGGACTGGCCAAATATTTGTTTGCAGAAGGCAGGAAATTGAGAACCTTTGAACTTTTGGATTACATGTTCTTTACTTTTGGGGTGACTCATGTGGTACTTCTTCCCAGTTGGTGCTTGTCACCTTCTATGAGATGTGGATTGTCTGTTTACTTTCTAAGAGCATTTACATGAGCACTTGCCAGCTTTAAACAAAGGCTGCATATTTAAAACATTCAAAATGACATTGAGACAAAAAGGGAAGGGCAACAATTAAAAACAAAGAAAGCAATCAATTTATTCTCGAAGGCTTTCACGGCTGGGATCTGATGGTTGTTGTGGGATTTTCGGGCTCTTTGGCCGTGTTTTGAAGGTTGTTCTTCCTGACGTTTTGCCAGTCTCTGTGGCCAGCATCTTCAGAGGACTGGAGTAGGAACTCTGTCCTCTGAAGATGCCGGCCACAGAGACTGGCGAAACGTCAGGAAGAACAACCGTCAGAACATGGCCGAAGAGCCTGAGAAACCCACAACAACCATCAAAGCAATCAGTTCTTCAGTTGTCTTCTTAAACCCGGTTCAAAGTAATGCAAAATGAACATGCATTAACTGCTCAATGTCCACCTAAATACCCTCAGAGAGGGTATTTTAATTTAGTTCAGGAACAAATTCCATAACCAGGGTTCTGCTGCAGAAAAAGTTCTGCCTCAAATTCTCACCCACTGTCTGAACGCCTGTTGTTTAGCATTATGGGATTTCTGGATTGTTTAGATCACAAACACCAAAGTCCCTGACAAAGACTGTAAGTTTCAGGCAGCTTTATATAGGAGGATGCAACCTTTCATGTTTCCTTATTCTAAACTAATTAGTCTTTTTAGAAAAGAACCAGCATCTTGAACTGAGTGAAGGAATGAATGGGATGAGAATGCACTTGAGGTAAGATTGACAGCATATGCTATTTAATAATAATAATAATATAATTTATTGTCATTGTAAGTATATACACAGTATACCATACAACGAAATTCACAATGAGTATTTGAAATGTACTCTAGAAAATACTCTGGTTACTATGTTTTGCATCACACATTTAATTCCAAAACAGTCTTCAAGGATTGCTTTGAGCAGAACCTGTGCCAGTAATCTTTCCTGGACATGATCAAGGCACATATTGCTGTCTCCTGGCCCACCTTCTCCAGGAACAGGCAGAGTTGCCCACCAAAGGGAAACAAAGCTGTGACTGGCCAATACACAGATCCAAGCAGCCAGAAGCACCAGAAGCACCGCTGGCCCTGGAAACGCTCTCCAGCCACACCCTCCAGGAGCTGTAGGGGGGGCACGTTTATTTTTGCCACCAAGAACTTCTCCCCCTTTCCCAGTTTTTCCAAATTTTAAGAATTATGGCCATTAGAGGGCATGGCAGGACATTTTAAACAAACAAACAAACAAACAAACAAACAAACAAACAAACAAACAAAGCTTTTCAAAAGAAGAAGAAAAAGCCTTTTCAGTTGAGCAGGGCAGAGGAGCAGGTGAGGCATTCAAGAGTGCTGGGAATGGGTGTGTAAGGCCCACAAGCTTCTCAAAGATGCTTACCTGTGGTTAAAGAAAATGTCAGCTCAACCAAAGCTGGCTTTACTCATTCTTGGATAGTGCACACTGAACTTATATCTGCCTTGTCTGGACTGGTGGGTTTCATCTTTTTTTTAGCACACACCCAATCTGTTCACATCCAAAGAACACCTCAAAACATCTATAGCAAGGAAAGTGGGCACTTGTGGGTCCACCACAGTTATTGAATTGCAGCTTCCAGCATCCCTTGTGAATGGCTGTGTGGGTTGCAGTTCATGAGAGGTGCGCGCCAAAAAACATCTGGCGGGCCACAATTGCTCACCCCTGCCATGTGTCCTCCTGGCAGTCACTGATACATGTGTGGTCAAGGATGCATGCACAGAGGACTTCTGCAGTTTTGCCCAGCCAGCCAAGTTGATCCAATGATCAGATGAATTACAATTTGTTATTGCAATAGTAAGTGGGTAGCAGCTGGAATGAGCACAGACGTTATGAATATCTCTTTTAGTTTTGAGACAGAGACGGCCTTTTCCTCAATAATAGCTAAACAACACATTACATTAAAGTTATTCTTGGGGACCATTTTATTCTTAGTGTGCTCTTTGGGACCGTATATTCTGAAACATGTATTGGCTTGGTTAGGTGTGTGTGTGTGTCTGATTTGAAACATACTCACTGGCCCAAAATGGTCTTGATCCAACTGGAAGAATGTATGTGTTTACTGGAGTGTAAATATGTACATTCTTCCATTTGTATCAAGACCCTTATGGTTGGGTGAGTGTGTTTCAGATCACTCCTTGAACCAATATATTTTTTCAAACCCCTCTTCTTATTTCTTTTAAAAAAAGGGGGGCTGTTGGTGTCATCTCCCCTTTTGAGTCAAAAAATTTGGTATGATTTTGAAACAAAGTTCATTTTAATGTTTGAATGCTAGGTTTTCTGTAGATTATTGCACATGAGTGGGTTAAAGGACCTTTTTGATTATGCTATTAAGTGGGTGGTGGTTTGGGGTTTTTTCTGCTAATTTGTACAGTGCACACAGAAGAGTGTGAATTCACTAAATGTGTGGTATGTAAATAAAATAAAAATTATACCAGCTGGTTGAGAAGACAAGTTTACACTCCCTCTCCTCTGCACAACGGTCTCAGTCTGGATCACAGGTTCACCACTTATTTTAATGTAAACAAGAAAGAGAATCTAATCTGTGTGATATGTATTTAACCTCTAGAAACCTCCAGATCTATCCTTCAAAACTTTCACTCTCTGCTCTAAGGGACGCTAGGGGACAAATATATTTTGTCTCCTGACTTCCTTATCTAATCTTCTGAACCCTGGGCAATTTGTGAAATGTAAGACCCAGGCTGCATATTATTGCAAGTCAAATAGAAAATATAGCACAGGTTTATTTGTGAAGGTCTTGACCTACATTCTGTGATACAGCTTGGCTGGGAGTAAGAAGGACTGGGAAGAGCACCAGGTTGTTTTATGCCTGCATATTTTTGTGGATGAATTTCTCAAATACAGACTTCGATTGCCTAGTGTTATTATTTGACACCGTCTAGCCAGACTAAGTACTTGAAGGCTGCAGTTTTACACATGCTTACGTTGAGAGTAATTCTTGTTGAATTCAATAGGACTTACTTTGCAGTGGACATTACAAGATGGCACTCTAGAGATGGTTCCAAAACCCTTTGACTCTTCAACTCCCTCCTCAAACATGAGATTTTGAGGGAGTGGGCATTCCAAAAGACACAGATTTTCCCTCCTAGCCTTCCTACGTTTTCTGTCTGTAGTTCTTCCATCTCCCATCTGTTTTCTTAAGAGAAAAAAAAGGAAGATATAAAGACATATTACCAAAGACTGCATTTTGGTACCAGCTATATGAAGGTACTATTCGGGCCACAGTGCTTAGGCCAATGGTTCCCAATTTTGGGTTCCCAGATGTTCTTGGACTAAAAGCCCTGAAAGCCTTCACCACTAGCTGTCCTGGCCAGGATTTCTGGGAACTGCAGTCCAAGAACATCTGAGGACCCACAGTTGGAAACCGTTGGATTAGACAAATGCGGTCACAAATAACTGTACATTGACTTTTGTTTGGTAGCTCTAGGAGCCACCAGAGCGAAACCCTGCAGGTCTTGTTGATTTAATGAAATGGTCTGAGTTTCTGGTTGATAAGTATGTAACCTTATTGTTTTGGTATAATTATCAGGCAAAATATTCCTACTCCCCTGTTACCTCATGCATTGCCCAAGTTTCCATTAGCCTGATCCTCTGTATACTTACTTCAGTAACCAAATCCTACTAAAATCACGGTGCCCTTTCTTACTTGTAAGTGTACTTCAGTTTGTAGTCTTTCAAATGTTGAAAGTGATCTTCCCTTCCCCTTCTGGGTCATGCAGTCAATTTTTCGTGTCAGACCAGGCATTTATCTCAAGGAAGTGACCCTTTGAGAAAATCTTTTTGATCCTAAACTGAAACTCTAAGGTGACAGTGAGTGGTGGGAAAGGCAGGGAGAAGGGCTCAGTGTTGATGCCCAAGTCAGGGAGGAACACAACCACGAGCAAGGAAAAAATTCCCAAAGGCTGATGTGAGATGGTTGTTGTGGGTTTTTCGGGCACTTAGGCCGTGTTCGGGCTCTTAGGCCGTGTTCTGAAGGTTGTTCTTCCTAACGTTTCGCCAGTCTCTGTGGCCGGCATCTTCAGAGGACAGAACAACCATTAGATCCCGGCCATGAAAGCCTTCGCGAATACGCTGATGTGAGAATTGGGTCACTATCAAAAACTGCGTTTTAGTGGTAGAGGGGAGGCATGAGGTCTCTGGAAGGCAGAAATGGGATCTTGAAGGCTAGTCCCATGCCAGAATGGTCCTGTGTCCTAATGTACAGAGGACAGTCCTCTGTTTGAAGGACTGGGATGAGAGTTCTGTAATTCTGTAGTTCTAAATCAGTGGTGTGGTCACAGTCCTTGGGATCTCAAAGCATTGTGCCCGGGAAGCAGTTTTTTTTCCCTAACATCAGAACACTTCCCCTTTAATCCATGAAGAAGCCCAGCAGTTTCATGCCATACCTTCCTTCCTTTCTTCACTTCCAGGTTAGCTTTTGCTTGTCTTAACCATCCTAAATAATTGTAAGTCAAACATGCTGAAATAATTTGCAAAATTGTTTTTTAAGAACAGATCTTCCCATGGTCTTAACCAGAATAAGAGGATGATGCCAGAAGTAGTCCTATAGTAAGCAAAAGGAGCATATTTTTTTGTTTGCTAGTGCCAGAAGAGAGGGCCCAATACTTGGTCCTGATACTGAAATACTAGAGCTGATCATTCTGGCAGCTTCATACTGCATATCCCTCAGGGGCTCTGAATTTATATACACACATCTATGTGTGGATGTGTGTTGCACAAACAATACACATATATGTTTGTGCAACACAGAATATATATGTATGCATATACGAATTGTATTCTTGAAGGCTTTCATGGCTGGCATACAATTGTTGTTGTAGGTTTTTTGGGCTGTTTGGCCATGTTTTGGAGATTTTTCTTCCTAACAGTTTACCATTCTCTGTGGTCGGCATCTTCACAGGACAGAAGTTAGAACTCTGTCTGTGTACCGGTGTTGTGTGTGGGATAGTTGAGTATTTGTAGCTGTGGGATCAGCTTTTTGTCCTTTTTAGGAGATTGGGTGATTATGGTGATCAGGATTTTTTTTTTGTTATGGGTGTATTGTTGTGATGGGTGGGATTATCTGTCACTGTGATTGATGGGTGTTAGCTAGTCTTTTGTGTGCAGTGATCACCAGTCCTTATGACTGGGTAAAGTTCGTTGACCTTTTGCAGGCTGTATTTTTCAGTGCTGGGAGCCAGGCTCCCTGATCATCATAATCACACAATCTTCTGAAAAGGACAAAAAGCTGATTACACAGCTACAAATACTCTACTGTCCTACACACTACACCAGTACATAGACAGAGTTCTAACTTCTGTCCTCTGAAGATGCCCGCCACAGAGACTGGTGAAACATTAGGAAGAAAAACCTCCAGAACACAGCCAAACAGCCTGAAAAATCTACAACAACCATATATGAATTAATATTTATAATGTGTTTGCTAGAAACAGAATGTGGTACTTGCATAGAACATGTCTGTAAGCAATCAGAATGTATCTATAGCCAGCTAGACTGCTATAAAAGGCAGCCATCAGCTAAGAGTCCCTGTGACATGTAGACTAAGATAGGGCTGACACAGGGTCTCCTATGAAATGTATCTCAGACAGACAAAAATAAAATAAAGTTATGTAACTGAACTATAATATACACTAAGGCTAAATAACTAATACAAACATGAGTGTAACAATAAGAAGAGTTAATTCTTTACCAGAGAATGTCATATCTAACTATTAATATGTTATGTTATATAGTTTGTATATATTTATAATCAATAAAAGCTATTTCTTGCTTGAACCAAATCACAAGTGATTGTTGAATATACAATTGCTAACACAAACACACAAAAAGGGACAACATAATTTTACTCGATCCAGTGTTTTGTTTTAATCTAAATGTTCCCTGCTGTAATATGCTAATTCTGCTAATTGATAGGTTATAATTTATTTATTATATGCAAAAGCCAACATTATGCCCCTATAGGGCACCTCAAAGATCTGTATATCCATCCATCTAGGCTACATTGTACCTGCAATCTCATGAGAGTAGAAATATCCATTTCACAGAGGTTGGAACAATAAAAATGTTGCACTACATCTGCCACTCTGGCTGGCAAGCAACCAAAGCAATAAACAAATTTTCTTGGCTTAAATCTGAAAACAAGTGTGGACAGTAAATTGATTGCACCACTAAAACCTCACAAACAGGCAGGAGTCTTCATCAGGTTGGGCAGAAAGCTTGTTTGCTACCTTTGTTTTCAGATTGTGTACAAGGATCATCCAGGATTTTTCTTCTTCTTTTCTTTAGCTAGAATTGTAAACTTGGCCTTTTTATCCGAAATAAATTAAACTCTGTATGTACGGATTCTTTAAACTGAGGTAGGGAAAGAGGCAATCCACCAAATGAATTAATACTGGATACTTTTTAAAAATGTGGTGACTTTTTGAAAGGGGTTGAATATCTTTGTTTACCAATATGTAAAGAGAATGCCATTCACAATGTCATTCATAGTTTTATCTGATCCAGACTCATCCATGGGACCTATCAGGCAACTACCTACGAGATGCCATTCTTCTTTTACAAAGACATTGATATTTCTCTGGAAACATCAACACCACGAGTGCAGAGACAGATTACGACATCTGGAAGCCTTAAACTATGTCAACCTTATGATAAGCCATAGCACTACCAAACTGTATTTTATGCTAAGAATTAATAGAAAACTTGATTGGGCAGGGATATTTATATATGAGGCCATAAAATGAGGAGTGGGCAAAATGGGACAATGGAGCTGCCTGCACTTTCCCAGTTCTCTCCAGTCTTGCCTTCTCCTGGCAGAAGAAGTGAATAGCCTCCCAGAAGCATCCACGAGCGGTGATTCAGTGGGCTCCAGCACCCAGGTGCATTGTGGCACAAAAAATAGCAGCCTTTCAAAATCAGAGGTGGACTTCCAAGCCATATCCAGTTTGTTCTCTTGCAGATTTTTTTTTTTTTGCCTGTTTGGGTGATCTGGTTGGCCCCCAGAGGATTTCATGCACAGAAAACTGGGCCACAGGCCTACAAAATTGACCATCCTAGTCCTAAACTGTAGCTGATTTAAGGTGCATCTAAATCTGACACTACAAGAGAGGATGTCTTTTAAGATTTCACAGGTTATGTTGTCTTGGTTAACTTTGAAACCTGCAGAATTATTGCTGTATCAGTCTCATCACCACTCCCTCACTACCGCCCAGAGAAGGCACCATCCTGGAGAGCGCAGAGCTGCGTAGACTTGGTGCTCAGTAGCACATCTTGGATCAAACAGGTCTGCAGGAATGCTGCTTGGAGCAGAAGGTTCGGAGCTGTAAGGTACATGCATCTGGAGGACAAGGATGAGGGCCAGGGCAGAAACAGGAAATGTTCTAGAAGTCACGTTGCTGTGATGTCATAGGAATCCTGTTTGGTTCCAGAATCCTCATGTGTCCCGAGAGGTAAGGTAAAGGTAAAGGTTCCCCTTGATAATTTTTGTCCAGTCGTGTTCAACTCTAGGGGGTGGTGCTTATTCCCATTTCCATGCCATAGAGCCAGCATTTGTCCGAAGACAATCTTCCATGGTCACATGACATGTGCGACTTAGACACAGAACACTGTTACCTTCCCACCGAGGTGGTCCCTATTTATCTACTGTACTCGCATTTGCATGCTTTTGAACCGCTAGGTTGGTGGGAAAGTCTGGAGACTCTACCTCTAATCCCAGAGGGTTCTGAGCACTCCTGTTTTTATTCCATGCTTGTTCAATACATGGTCCACCACAAGGGTGATAGTATAAGAGCCTGTCTTGATTTACAATGTTAATATGAAGGCCTCATCCACTACTTCGGGATAGACAAGTCTTCTGGATTAAAACAGGTGTTTGAGGCTCAGTTTGTGAGTTGTACCTGGTCTACAAGTGAAGTAGGTTCTTGTAGTTTCTCTTTCCTTACAAGACAAGTAGAGTCTGGTACAATATTTCTCAGATGTATGATATGCTTAGGTCCAATTGAGTTCTTTGGCAGCTTCACTTTGACAGCACTCTGAAATGAAAGCAGATAAGACACAATCGAGAGAGTGGGAAATTTTGAATGGCTGTGCCCTACATTTGATCTTCAAGAAGTGGGGTGAGTGGGAGAGCAGTTGCCACCTTTCTGGATTACGTTGTCAGGATGAGTAAAATCAAATCTAGAAGATGTCTCAATATGGTAGCAATTGATCCTGGAAAACCATATAGTCACGACCATTCCCACCATAAAGTTGATGGCTGCATGGTTTGGATCATATCCTGGAAAGAAAGAGTTAGTAAACCCATGCATGCCAGCTTCGCTGACTGTTCTTTTAAGTCATGGTGGCAAACTTCCATGGGCTACATTAGGAGTAGCCACAGAGGCAGCTGATGATTTTGCTGCTAATCATTGCCCCAAATCAGCAGCAACTGTGGTTGCCTTTTTATAGTGCTGGAGGATGCCAGAACACTCTCTGGTGTAGTGGCTTCTTCTCTTCTGGAAAGGGAGACAATGCTTGTTTAATTTATCATAGTATAATAATACTTGCTTTCTCTCTGTGCTGCTGCTGATTTTTGGTAGCTTGGTTTAGCAGCAGCAAAGCAAGGTAACAGGAGCAGTAAAAATAGGATACAGTCTGTTGCTCACACTTGTAAAACACCCTTTATAAGTTGAAGTGAGAAATACAGTATTTTGCATTCAACAGCTGCCCTAGCTTTGCTGCCACTTAATCTCACTTGGTTGCCCAGGAAAGGAGAAGAGGTCACAAGCCTAGAAAGATGGGGTGGAGACTGTGCTGATATGCCTGTCCAATGTCCAGTTTAGCTTGATGATGTCATAATCCATGGCCACTGTGATGGCTGGAGAGTGTAGACCATTGAACTTCCTTGGCAAAATATGTTCCTGGCCAATACAACAGCTAAGGGGAAAGATCTCGGTCCTTACAACAGCCAAGGGACAGAGGCTGAGGAGGGTTACCCTTTCAGACTACAATTTCCAGAATCCCAGATTTTCAGGTACATAGTCCAAAAAGTAACTTTCCTAACCTCTGTTCCTTGGTTGCTGTAAGTAATGAGACCTCTCTGTTCAGTTGCTGAGTTGGCCAGTGACAGGACGACACCTTTTACCAGCACTTGAGAAGGCCAGAAACCTTTTTCATGGAAATGGCGGGAGATGACAAAATCAATGAATGTTCCTCCTTCCTTCCTTCCTTCCCTCCTTCCTTCCTTTCTTCCTTCCTTCCTTCCTTCCTTCCTTCCTTCCTTCCTTCCTTCCTTCCTTCCTTCCATTAAAGAAAGTTTTCAACTATTAAGTTCTAGACTTTTGTGGACTAGCAGTGAATTAACAGTGAATAGTCAGAGAGGAACATGCTCAGTAACCAGTGACAACTCACATCAGATCTTCCTCAGTTTTTGAGGAGTGGTTTGGGCATAGTATCTTTGTAGTGGTGAAGAGTGTTGCACTGAGACTTGGGAGAGTCAGGGTCCAGTCCTCGCTGAGCCATGAAACCAGCTGGCTGCCCTTGGGCCAGTCATCCATTCTCTCTCTTTGTGCATCACCTACTTCAGAGGAATGTTGTTGTGAAGATAAAGGGAGGGGGAAGGGAAAGTATAGCATCATATGCTGCCTTGAGCTCAGTGAAATTAAAATGGGGCATAAGTGGTATCTGTAAATAACCTAACCCTAGCTTGGAATGTGGAAGGACTTCATGATTCTTTCCACTTCCTTCACAGGTCACTTTGGAACCTCCGTCTCCACCTCAGCCGTTCCCTGACGATCCTTCCACTATTCTCCCTGTCCCCTACAACCCTGAATGCTTTTTTTTTAAGGGATGAAATTTCTTTGGCTGCTGCAGTTCTTTCTGTGTCTTGCATCCAGAGTTGCAGGCAAAGTCTATGGACGCTGTGAACTGGCCCGGGTGTTGAAGAAAGCTGGTTTGGACGGCTACCGTGGACACACCTTGACTGACTGTGAGTGCCACCATGCTTTTATCTGTTACCAGATGCCCATTTTGTTTGGTGGCCACAATGCAGGTGGAGACAGCCGGGGAATGACAGGTAGAGTGAGAGGCAAAAATAAATGTTCATGTAGGCATGCACACAAGCAAGCAAACGTTCACACATGCAGTAGGGGAATATAGGAAGGGCTCTCACCCCCCAATAGCAGGAGAGGCCTGGCTGGGGATACCTTGAGGTGGGGCAACACACTGTCTACCCAAACAGAGGCAACTTCATCATTCTTTTGGCCTCTCGTCTCCCACCCAGCGTCTGGTCCGGTCATCAGTTCATCCATCCAGAGCAGGATTTCTTGTCCCTCATGAGACAGTTGCTCAGAGGAGGACATTGCATGAGTAGAGCCATTTCTGTTTTGCAGTCATGGGCAAGCAGAGGGAGCAAATTTCACCAGAACTATAAGGGCCCCAAAGCTGTCCCTGCTTGCAAAAAGAAAAAAAAGTGTGTTTCTTCTGTGAAAAGAGGGGTGAGGAGCCAGCAGCTCTCCAGATGTTTCGGACTCCATCATCTGACAGTCTCAGGGAGCAGTGTCAATAGTTAAGGAAAGGAGAGAAAGACCATGTTCATCTTGGAACACTTGGCACTGCAAGGGGTTTTTGTTCAGTTACATGTGACGCCATCTGCCTTGCTGATGGAAATGATTGGCACTTTTCCCATTCCCTGAATTTGAACATTCCAGATGTGTATGGACTCTACAGTGCCAACCCACATTACTGATCCTGTCTGAATTCCAAAGTTAAACAGGACAAGGATTGGTTTTTATTGGATTGGAGATCACCGTAAAAGTAACAAGTGTGTCCAAGGAGGGCTAAGAAAGAATCCTGCCTAAAACCTAAAAGAGATGACGAAGCAGGGCTTCAGTGGCCAAGGGCCTGACCTGGTATAAGGCAGCTTCTGATGTTCTTCATATGCTTCTAATATCTGGAGAACTGTGGGTTTGCTATCTTTAGTATAGGCAATGCCACAGTGGAGGCATAGTGCTGGAGTGGTGGAGGTGATTAAGAGCTTATTCATGGCATTTTTTTTCCTGCTGGGAGCAAAGAGGGTCTATATCAGGAATCTGAATGGACCTAAAGCAGGGGTGTCCAACCTTTCACCTTCCCTGGGCCACATTGGAAGATGAAAATTTGGTTTGGGCCACACATAAATTTGGTCTGGGCCGCATGGGGGGCAGCCCTAGCCATCCTCCGCAGCCCCGCTCCAAGCGCGCTTACCGGCAGCTGCGATCTCAGACAGCAGATGCTGCCAGCTTTGCCTCCGGTGGCTTTATGGGGCTGGGAGGGGGTCCACTTATTGACGGGGATGGCACAATGCAGTCATGCATCCCTCCTCTCCTCTCCCCTCCCCTCCTGCTCCTTCCTTCCCTCTCTCCCCCCCTACCATTGTGACGTGCTCCGGCCGCATTCCGGCTGCAAGCGCCGGCGGTGTAACTTGAAACTTTGGAATTTCTTTTAAAATAAAAAATTGCACTGGGCCGCATTATGAGCTGACCTCTGCTGGGAGCAAAGAGGGTCTATATCAGGAATCTGAATGGACCTAAAGCTTAATCTCTCTTCAGTGCTGACAATGAGATTGTATCATCCATCATAAACATCCCTCTCTCCCCCCCTACCATTGTGACGTGCTCCGGCCGCATTCCGGCTGCAAGCGCCGGCGGTGTAACTTGAAACTTTGGAATTTCTTTTAAAATAAAAAATTGCACTGGGCCGCATTATGAGCTGACCTGGGCCGCATGTGGCCTATTTGCCGCAGGTTGGACAAGCCTGACCCAAAGCTTAATCTCTCTTGAATGCTGACAATGAGATTGTATCCTCCATCACAAACGATGCAGCGGGTTAGTTTAAAGAAAATGTGGCATACCCAATGCCGTCATCCAATGTAAGAAACAGCTGGGAAGTCCAGGAGGAATAATCAGGATGCTGTCACTGCTGTCCTCTTAGCATAAGATACAGGAGGCAGTCGTTTCCTTCTGCCTAATGGTAGGGCCGTCCCTTCTTCTAGTCTGTCCTCTACATGGAGCAGAAGCAGAAATAATGACAAAAACCACAATGACAACATAGGGCCCAGTATTCAAATAAAGTTGATTTTCATATTTGGAAATAAACAATATGCCACTTGTAATTCATACGAACCGTGCAGTGAAATCTTGCTTTCTGTGGGAGCAGGACGGGTGTTAAGCTTCACAGAGGAATCCTGGCTCCTCATCTCTTCCTGTGTTACAGGGCTCTGCATGGCCTTCTATGAAAGCCACTTTGACACATCCCTTGTCCGCTATGAATTTGACGGCAGCACCAGCAACGGCATTTTCCAGATCAACAGCAACATTTGGTGTGAGGATTACAAACACCTCCAACCAAACAAGTGCCATATCCATTGCAGTGGTGAGCTATGAAGTGGGTTGAATTCAGTTCTGCATCATGACGCTAGCGAGCATTTCATAGAAGTCTATAATATTAATAATCTTAGAACTGCAAAGCTGGAAGGGACCCTATGGAAGATTAAATCCAGCCCCTGTCAAGGAGGCCCAGTGTGGAAATCGAACTTGCAACCTCTGGCTCGGCAGCCAGAGATCTAAACCACTGAGCTACCCAGCAGAGAAAAGGGGAAATGGCAGGGAGAGGGGAGGGATGGAAGGCACCGGCTTTTCTGGCAGTTCAAAAATATACAATAGATCTACCCTTACATGTAGCGTGCAGTGGTAAGAATAACCCACCATGCCACTGATTTGGATGCATCACTGATGAGGGGAAGGTAAGTGTAAGAGCCTGTATATGTACAGTATCTAGGAGCAAATGGAGCATCGCCCTTGGATAGATCAATAATGTATACATAGAGGCAATGGATAGCCTCTCATGTCAATGAGTGCTTTACACTAGCTTTACAAGAGTTTGATTCGCCTTAGCACCTCTTTCATCGCATCCCTTGGCAACTGATTTGGGGGTTGCTGCTGTACAAGGAATATTTTGATTGTCAGTAATCAGGGCAAAAAGTTCGGGAAGCAGCTGGTTTCCTGATGGAATGGGTGAAGACGGTTCGGAAACTTCAGCTGGTGTAAAACTCTGCAGCCAGACTACTAACTAGAGCCAGCTACAGGGAGCATATAACGCACCTGTTACAAGAACAGCACTGGCTACCAGTCCGTTTCTGGGCCCAATTTAGAGTTCTGGTCATTACCTGTAAAGCCCTATACAACTTGGGTCCAGGCTACCTGAAGGAACGTATCTCCCTATATGTGCCTTCTCGGCAATGAAGATCAGCCCAGGAGGCCCTCTTCTCGGCCCCATTGCCAGCAAAAGCACAGCTGATGGGGACACAGGGGAGGGCCTTCTCGGTGGCAGCTCCCAGGCTATGGAACGCTCTCCCTTGGGAGATCAGTCTGGCCCCTTCCCTTTTATCCTTTGGAAAAAAGCTAAAGACCCATCTCTTCAGGCAGGCTTTTAACAATTAACTGATTCCCTGAACCCTATTTTAGCAAACAATTGTAATATTTTTTATGTTTTCATGTTTTAAACTTTTAATTGTATTTAAAATTATAAATCGTTTAATTTATCTTTGAATATTTAACTTATTGTGTTTTTAAATTGTGTGAATTTTAATGTTGTGAGCCGCTTTGTGAGTCCCTTGTTGAGAGAAATGTGGCATATAAACAACAACAACAACAACAACAACAACAACAACAACAACAACAACAACAACAACAACAACAACAACAACAACAACAACAACAACAACAACAACAACGCTTGGGTGATTGGTCAGCAGGAATGACAGGAGAAACAGGTGTATTGTGTGTTGGCTCCCTCCCCCATACTCTTTTTCCTCTGTCTCCGCAGATCTGTTGACCAGCAGCATCCGTGATGACATTGTCTGTGCCATGAAGATCGCACAAGGACCCAGAGGGCTGGGGGCTTGGTAAAGTGATCTTTAGGGGGCAGGGGCCATTAGGGTAGGCAGGGACATCATCTTAAGACCTTTGGGGTGTTTACTTGAAGGAGCACTATGGCATGCTGGGTAAATCAAGACTCCACAAGGAAATGGGTTAGCAAGGCATGGTGATGACAGCCAGCTTTCTCTCTGGGCTTCTGGAGTTCTGGCAGTCGATGGCATTGTTTATCCAGATATGAGTTGTGTTGGTATTCCATTTTGACTCCAAAGACCTAAAAGAAGCTTATGTGGATTCCCAACTTTATCCTCACAAAAATGCTGTGAAGTCTAACAAAATGATAGGCCCAGGGTTCCCTAGGAGGTACAGTGAGGATAGTGAGGACTAGAAGCTGGATCTCTGATTCCCAGTCCAATATTCTGACTTTTACACGCATATCACAAGGTGGCTGAAATTCTGTTGCTTAGTGTGGTAAGTTGCACTGGAACAGGCCCATTGGAATCAATGGAACTTACAGAGAAGCTGTCTCATCAAATCTCCAATAATTCAGTGGGCCTACTTGAGTGTGACTTACTCTGAGTAACAGGATTTCAGCCAGTGGGTAGAAATCAAAAGGTAAAAAACATCAGTGATATCCAATTACTAAAGAAAGGCAGAAAAACAGAGTAGTCTATTCTTATGATATACTTGTGCTTTAAAACACACACACACCTACAGGGACTTAATGCACAGGATCATTTTCTTAAAAAAATGAATGACGTCCTTGCAAAGTTGTGCTTGCAACTTCATAGCTAGTTTTGGTATGCTTTCAAATAACAGGTAGACTTGGAAGTCCACATTATTCTGTTAAGACAGAAATCAGTTATGCCTGAAGGGTAGCTCATCATTGGGTCTGTTTCCACAAAATTCACTAACACTAGATATACTGATATTGAAACAAATACAGTAACACTTTCTTGATGCTAGTCCTGTAATAGTATTGAAGTCTTCAGGAGCCAGTTTGTAATATCTGTAAGGACAAAAATACAGATTTTACACACACACACACACACACACACACACACACACACACACACACACACACACACACACACACACACACACACACACACACACACACACACACACACGACTGTTATTGGCAAGGAGCCAGTATACAGTATACCACTTCTCAGAAGCAGCTGCATGGGTGAATTTGAAGTATATTTTACTAACTACATGACGGCGAAGGCTGAATTGATTTGGTCCAGCCCTTTTTTTTTAACTCCCAAAGTGCCCCTCCCACTGCTAAGGGCTTCTACGTTTTCAAGCTGGAACAATTTGAACAGGCTTTTCAGAGGACAGACGTTAGTTGAGATACTTTCTTGTAAAAATGGATGTGTGTGTCTGTAAGTGGTGTTTTGATGACACAGGCAGTTGGGGCATGCTGTTTAGGACCAGGGAAGCACACTCCTGCCTTCTTTCCTCTCCTCCTATTGTCCTCCAAGTTTTTATTTTTTTTTTATTTTTAAAAATTCTTACATATATGAGATGAGTGCTAGATTCACCTTGTTGCTCGATCATTGTTATTGTTATTTCCCGTATTTATGCCCCCATCCGTTCACTGTCATATCAGCAGAA